GAACTCCGATATCTCTCACTGTCATCAGACAGGGTGCAGAGCAAAATTTTTTTGGCTCATTCTTTGATACTATGGTGATGTTCAATATGAACATCTACCACTGGAGCAATGTATTTGAAAGAAAATAAAGACGAGCATAAAATGTGTTCTTTAATTTATCATTACACCAAAATAAGCAATCACTTGCCTTATGTCAAAAACTAAATGTCAATGGGAGCTGCTTAATCACGGGTGTGATCACATGTGTCAGAAAGTGAGGACCATTTCAGGAAAAAGGCTGATTAGTCTTTCCAAATTTCTGGCACCATATATCTAATTTTTATAGATGCCCATTTCCACTTGGTAGAAAAAAAACATGATATAAATAAAAACAAAAAAAACAAAACAATACAATAATGCATACTTTAACCATCTAGATCTAGATCGTAGGGCAGTAAAGGTTAGTCAAAATCTATGTTTTCACTGAGTAAGTACATAGACAAAGTATTGTCCTATAACAAAACCTCTTTTTTTCCAGGGTTAGACAAAATACAAAAGATGAACATAGACAGTGTTAGCACTTTGCCCGCTGCCTCGTTGTTTATTTGAGACAGAACTGGCTATATTTAGACCGGAAGATGCAGCGCTGAGCTCAAACAGAAAATAGGAAAACAAAAATTATTATGGTTTTTTGGTGTGCTGTATATTCTTAGCAAACCATAGTATTTATTAGATATAATATACATACAGATATAACAATAAAATTTTAAAATAGAATCAAGATGAGCACCTCTGTACAGTTGTAATGAAGGGAGAGATTAACTATAGAGACCAAACCAGCAATGCATGGTAAATGCATTGCTGAATTCAGGCATTTGAACATGGGAGTCTAATGTTCAAAACACTCTAAGCACAATGAAGTGGGTAAGAGGGGAGGTGTTGTCAGGAAGGGGGGGGGGGGGATTTGAGACAAGAGCAAGAGTGAAAGGTAAAGTTTACAAGAAGCTAGTGAGACCTGCTATGATGTAAGGTTTGGAGATGGTGGGACTGAAAGAAAGATAGGATGCGGAGCTTCAAGTGGCAGAACTGAAGATGTTAAGATATTTACTAGGGTCCACCACGATGGACTCACTTAAATGTTTAAAGTGTGTGTCTTTTAACTTGACACAGGGTTATTAACTTCTCATTAGTGATCATGATTGACTATAATTTGTAGTTAATCTTGACCAGCATAAAAAGGATTTCTTTGACAGCAATAACTGGACTGTATTCAGAACAAAGGGAAAGTACTACAACGTCAGTGAAGCTCTGTGACGCAGAAGTGAACATTTACACAAGCTGGGAATGTCTCTTGGAGACATTTATGAATAACTGTGCTTTCAATATAATCAGTTCAGACAATTGTGCATAAGTACAAGTTATTCAGATGTCACCACTTCGCCAAGTCTGGAGGAAAACCCAAATGAGACAAAATTGGTTACGATGTTTGCAAATAACCCAGGAACCAACAAGGCTCAAGCCAACGATGAAACTTTCAAGCTCAGCTGAAATTTAATGCTGCTCACATGGTTGCCTCTTTAGGCATTTGACTTTAGGCATTTAGCTTTTTGGACAAAATAACAAGAGATCGTTTTAAGGAGTAAAGGTGGAGCTTT